ATTGGGGCAGTATGGGGGGCAATGTGTGTATGGGGGACAGTATGGAGGGCAGTATGGGTGTATGGGGGGGCAGTATGGGGATCAGTGTGTGTGTGATAAGGGTAGGGGGGCTTTTTAAAAAAAATATATATTTTTTTAATTTAGTTTAATATAAATAATCATTATGTCCCCCCTCCCTTCTTACCTTTACTGGGGGGAGGGGGGACATATTTCGTTCCCTGGTGGTCCGGTGGGGGAATCCCTGGTGGTCCCAGTGGGGAGAGTGAGCTCTAGCCCACACTCCAGGGCTAGAGTTCACTCTCTCGAGATTTGGAGCGTTGCCGTGGTAACCGCGGCAACGCTCCAAATCTCACGAGAGGAGGACCCGGAGGAGCTGCAGACTGAGCTCCGGGTCCTCTCTCTCCTCCCTCCCTCCGCCGCCGGCCGCCAGCACAGTGCCTGCGGACCGGGGAGGGAGATCTGTGATCTTCCTCCCCGGTCCGCAGGCACATTACAGGGCTAGCACCTGCATGTGCCGGCAGGGGAGAGGGAGACCGGCGGATTTCTCGGGGGGGGGCAATTGCCCCGTTGCCCCCCCCCCTGGATCCGCCACTGGGATAGATACAATGTGCTATCAATAGAAGCCATTGAATTATTAATTAAGTGCTACTTCTCTAGGAGGTAATAATGTTACAAGTCAGGTAAGAAATAATGTTGCTGGTTATGCTGTTGCAGTTTTTGCTAAAACTTCACTGATAGTATATCTAACTATTGTGGTATGGACATGCTCAGTGTTTCTCATTTAGTTCCCTATAGGCACAGATCTTTTTACTTTTTCTGTTATCACCTTGGTTTGTCCTGTGTCTTACATTTTAAAGGGACACTGTAGTCACCAGAACAACTACAGCTTACTGTATTTGTTTTGGTGAGTATAATCATTCCCTGCAGGCTTTTTGTAGTAAAAATGCTCTTTTCAGAGAAAAGTCTTTACATTACAGCCTAGGATTACCTTCACTGGCCACTCCTCAGATGGCTACTAAAGGTGCTTCCTAGGGCAGTGCTGCATACTGTGCAGAACTGACATTCAGTGTCTCCACCCTCTACATGGAGACACTGAACTTTCTTCATAGAGATACATTGATTCAATTCATCACTATGAGGAGATGCTGATTGACCAGGGCTTTGTTTGACTAGTGCTGGCTCTGCCTCCTTGACAATATCAGCCAATCCTATGGAAAAACATTGTGATTGGCTCAGAAAATCACTTCTGATGATGTCAGCAAGCAGGCAGGTCAGGGGCAGAGCAAGCATCTGCAGGTTTGAATAAAAGTACGATTTGGCTCTATTTAGGGAGGCAAGGGGATGGGGGAGTGGCAGGGTGGCTTGATGTTGTTTTTAACACTATAGGGTCAGGAATACAAGTTTGTGTTCCTGACCCTATAGTGTTCCTTTAAGCATTTATGTGCACTGATTAGATCACCATTTAGTACATATGGGTTAGCTGCACACCACAAGATGACATTAGGACTTGGTATTTTTTGCTATTGTTACTAAGATTTGTATGACATCATGAGTTTGCTGTTCAGGCCTCTCTAGTGTCAAACCTCTGTTTTACCTGTTCTGGGTCTATTTAAGGCAGTTTGCTTGGATGTACATTTGTCTTGATAAAAGTCAAAAAGTGGACTGAAATGTCAACTTTTGTATTTATCACTTTCATGGATAAATATAGGCAGCACTGCAAGCAATTGGAAATAAGTCCAGTGAGTGCACTTTTATATTTTGGTATTATGTAAATGACAGAAGTAGCACCGTGGCCATAAACATACTGAGATGATGAGTGCAGAACCTGTCTCAATTTAGTTTTATATATCTATCTATATATATATATATATATTTATATATATATATATATATATATATATATACATACATACACACACAATTCCAAGTGATGGTCCGCACTCCCAGTCTCCGTTTAAAATATAACTTTTATTATTCACATCAAAGATAAAATATAGATGCCATATATGGTCAACGTTTCAGTCCCGGATCGGAACTTTTCTCAGGACAGCATGCATGTTATATTTTAAACGGACAAATCAATATACGGTACAAAAAAAGTTACAGGAAAAGCTCTACTGAAAAATGGGTAATAAGTGTGTGGTTTTATAAGGTACAGGGTGCTCTTAAAGGAAGAGAATCTGTTCCCATATCAGATTTATACATGTAATAAAAAAACAAGTAATGATCCCAAGGCACGCCACAATTTTGCACATAAAGAGTATTTATTCATGCGAAAATACAACAAGATATCATTATAGCAGAGAGAAAGTGCATAGTATAGTGCTAAACTAGTATATAGTACCAAAACCACAATGTAAGTAAAGTGCTAAATGCAAAAACCCTTTAAAAAAAATGTATACTGGGGGGGCGTGGCTTGGACGCCGACCGGGATGGAAGCTTAAGCTGCGAGCTCCGCTCCACCGGTCCCTGCATAGCCCTACTAATTAGCTACTACAAGCTCTAATGGGACAGAACCGAAGGGGTGAACCTCCCGGGACCACAAGGGGATCCCAACCGCAGCAATCAGTGGGTCCGATGGACGAATTTCTTCAAACGCCGGCAGACACACGCGGCGAGGCCAGAGGCCCCAAAATGGCGTCTACTCCCTCCGCATCCGGAGCTCCCTCTACCTCCACACTGGATGGCATCGGGGAAGAAATCCGCACTATTGCGGCCTCCACGGCTACCAAGGCTGACCTCCTGCTACTCACCACCACTATACAGGATGCCCTGCGGGCGGAAAATGGACGGAATCCGGACAGAAGTGGCAGCGCAGGGTGCCCGTGTTCAAGACCTGGAGCGCTCCCACGAGGCCCAAAATGCCAGACTGGCTTCGACTGACACGCCCGTAGCTAGGCAGGGTGACCTGCTTCTGCAGCTCAGGAGACACCAGAACGGATGGGTGTCAATCCGCTGGCCGGACGAGGTCCCTAGGTTCCTGGAGGACTTGGGCCTACCACCTGTGCCTGTACTGGACTGGGTCTTGGGACCGCTGGATGCTGGCCCGAGACCGCAGCGCGCACCCCGCCGACGCAGGGGACGGTCCCCACCGGGCCCACCTCGTCGCCGCCAAGATGCGCGAGGGGGCCAGGAGTGACAACCACCACTTTGATAGCGCTGACCCACCGGGCTGCCACTGCCTTGTCTGCCCTCGGGTGACCCCTCGCCCAGAACACCACAATGCCACCTGTTTTGAGCTGAATGGTTTTACTGATGCACTTACAACGGCCCTGATACCCTCACTAGCCTGGACGGTGATGGGTGATGTCAACATGGATCTCGGGGACACTGAAAGAGAATGGACTGACCCAACATCGCATTATGTACAACCCCAACTTCACCTGCATGGAAAAATGGCACCCTAGGACTGTGTGCACATCTGGCAACGAGACAACTCGGGCCGACTTCCCTCTCATGCAATACTAACAGTGGCTCCGCTACACCTCTTCTTACTCCACGAACTCCTGACCCTCCCTCCAGAAGCGTTCTCAGGGGTCCATGGGTGTGAGCTTGGGGTGGTGGGGTGAAAGGGGGGGTTTTGGACATATTTTGTTCCTGTGCTGATACGAATACGGCTGCTTTCTTTTTGCTACATATGGGACAGCGCCGTGAGTGGAGTTGCCTCTGACACCGTCTGCGTGCCCAAAATGTACAGTGTACTAGGAAGCTGGGCCCAGAAACTGTCCTCACCTGCTAAGTATCCTCACTTGACGTTATGCCTAGTAATTGTTTCTTTTCTCTTTTGTTATTTATTATGCTTACTATTGCTGATATACCTGCTGTGCCTTCTGAGTGGGAAGAATGTGCCAGAGGGATAGATGGGTATGTGAGTAGTAAACAGGGACGTGAGGGCTAGGGGGGCCAGCAAATTGGGTTACCACCATAGGAACTATAGGGAACTTATGTGACTTCAATAGGTGCCATAGAGATGACGTGCAGGGCTCACCCATGCCTAGTCCCGAACATAGCGCACAGAATGAGGGACAGGGACACTGTGGCTGGATTTCCTTGTTAACCCCGACCTAACTACCCATACAGACCTGGGGTTGTATTTTCTCGTGGCAAAAGCAGGAGGGTGGGATGGGGATACAAATGCTATGTGGGGTTTGCCCCGGGGCGGGGGGGATGGGTGGACTTCCTGGTGGGGGTCGCTTTTGGGGGTGGTGGATAAATGGCACTGCCGGTTGTTGTTGCTCATATTGTTAATGTTTACACCCATAACGTTTAATCTGCTATAATACTGTTTGATCCCCTGCATGTTTGTTCCTCCCACAACTAAACACACTTGGGCTAGGTATAGTGATGTACCGAACGGTTCGCCGGCGAACGGTTCCTGGCGACACATAGGCCACACCAATCCTGGTTTGGACTCCGACCACTGTCCTACACTCTCACCTGCGCAGAACCCTCAGAGGAGCCACAGGCTCGTTTACTTACCGATCTGGTTATCGTGGTGACACCTGGCCACTCCTGCTGCAACGCAAGTGATTCTCTTCTTTCAGGAGATTTTGCGGTAATAACCTCCTTTCACCCCGCTGGGGACGTTCCCCAAAGGAGGGGCCCACCCGGCCCACCCTTATTTTATTTTACCTCACCCACTCGACATTCTCCCACTCTCCGTACCATGCAGACACTATACATTCCTACACATGGCCTCTAGTTAGACCACCATTCTACACACCGAATCACAAAAACTGCACTCATCGACGACTATTATGGATACATTCCAACCACGGAACCACACTCTTAGAGTTCCTATGGATGCTACTATGCCCACGTAGCTCTAGCTCTAATCGGACGCACTCAGCTCCATGTCATACTGATACGACAACATTCTGCAACCCACACTTTAGAAGGTAAACACAACTGTACCATGTCACTTGTTATGTATTGGAACAGAAAAGCATCCTTGAATCTGTACATGCTCATGTTATATTTAAAAATGCTACTTTATTGCACTATTTCAATGTTTGAGTGATGAGGGCCTGCGAGCCCTACATTTATTGTGCTCAACAACATTGCATATATAGAACAAATATCATACAAGAAATCTGGGATTCCAAGAAAAAAAAATCCTCTTTATTGTATTAAAAATCCATACGTCTACATTTCAGTTACTACATAGAACATTTTTCAGGAAAAACATGCACAAAAACTGCAAACAAATATCCACACAGGCACAGAAACACATGTAAAAAGATACATTTAAGGCACCCTTAAAATCATAAGCAACAGGCTACAGTTATTTGGGCTTAAGATTTGTAATTTCTTTTACACAAATGTAGTCTTCAACGTGTTTAATATTTCTTTTACAACATACACACATTTATATATATATGACAGAATATACATATATAGTAAAACAAACATACTGTATGTATCATACTAGCATATAGGAAAATCTATAGGATTAATCTTCATCTTTCCTTATGCTCCCTCAGCCTCCACGTACCTCAGTAAATTGTGTGCTCAGTTTCAGTACTGTTCTCCCAGCTTCAGCTCTAAGCAGACTGATGCGCTATTGCTCCACCCATGTATTTATAATCCACATCTAGTTTCATTTCTCCTTGTGATCAGAGGTTTCCTCCTTCAGTTTAGTTTCTATTTTCCACACAGCAATGCGTGTTTACGCTCACTTTGCATGGATAGTTATCATTGTCAAGGTTAGAAGGCAAATAATCCAAAGTACAATGCAGTATTACAGGCAGCATTCAGTTACTTGAATGCTGTCATACCGCCCACTGCTCGGTTTTATTACATCCTGATGGGCTTTTTGCATTTGTGATTTTGCAGCTTTGTTACATGTTGCAATAGCTAACTCCAAGTTAGCTGAATCGTGCTATAATGAATAATTGTATTATTTAAAAAAAAATATATATTATTTAAAGTGCATACCAGGCTTTCTTCCTACGGGATGTATTTTAGTGTGATTTATAAGGAAATAATGGCGTCCTAATTTTAGAAGCTAACAATTTTGTTTTCCTAGAATTTTGTTTTGCTCCAAACTGATAATTTCAGAGTTTTTAACGACATGGAAATTAACAAATCGAAACAAAACATAATTGTACTTATTTCTTTACATGGCTTTTTATATGGGTTCCTTTAAGAGAAGCCATTGAGATAATTATTCAGCACCTGGAGATATTTATTTTTCATTTTACATTCACCAGAGGTCTCTGTTATTTATGTTTTATGTAATCATACTTCCGGGCCATATCTATTAATTAAAGGCCAGAATCAGCCACCACAGGGATTGCCATAATACAATGTCAAATGCACTTTAGTGGGAGACACTCACACATATATACTAAAATGCTGAAGTAATCAATGTGGACACATGTTTTTTTCTTTTTTAGTAAGTGGACATTTAAACATGGACTGCAATCACTCCTTAAGGATAAGCAGGTGTTAGGGACCTCCTAGTACCATAATAATTTAATATCAATGAAGTTGTTATGGTACACAGGGATTCCCCTTAAGAGACTGCCACACCTAAGTCACAAAGCATGAGATGACCTTTATATAGCTCGGGGTTTTCTTTTAGTACAACTGATCGTTTCAGGTGAGCATGCAGGAAATAAAAGGTGAAAGTTCTATTTTCCATGATGGCTCTTGTATCCATATAAATCATCTAGAGACTGTGACATGCCTCCTTAATAGTAAAAAGACACAGAGAGAAGGAGTGTCTGTGTTTAGATGAAGCCTGTTGTGGCTGGCTTAAGCAATGTATGATCATATACTGTAACTAAAACCCCATTGTTTTGCCTATGTGAGGTGTTTTTAAATAAAACTATTTCTATAAATCTTCAAATTGATGTTTATTGAATAAGCTTGTGCACTGGATCTTGTATGTTGTATAAATCGGCCCCTATAATGTATGCATCTTCAGGTGAGTGCAGCTTCTTGGTTTCAGGGAGCAGGGGTGAAAGGCAGCCATATGAGTGGTTTGAAGCCGGAAGCGAGTGGGCTAACCCGCTAAGCCACATCCACCAGCCACAAATAACTCGGCATGCACTTCTGCCAAACACCACCAACTAAATTTTAAGGATTAATGATGGGAATTACAATTCACCAATGGGATAAAGGCACACACAGGTGGACACATCATAGGTAAAGTAGAGAACTGTGTAATATCAGGATTGGATAATTGGACTATACATGTGACCATAAAAGAGGGTCTAAAAGACAGTTAAAAGATGGCAGATTCATGGGATCAAATCACAGCTGACTGAGGAAGCCCCATAAGGAGTGAAATGCGTTTTGGCTACATTCAGGACTTTTCCTTTTATAAGTGTATATTCTATTTGTCTATTTTATTTTATGTGTTTTTAAGAATTTCTTGCATAATACATTTATTAGCACTTTATATAAGTCCTCTGAAGCCTCAAGAATCTTCATTGTAGTGGTGCCATCCCCTCTACATTAGCTCAAAATTTGATACCCTCAGAGCCAGGATTCTAAGGCTCAGAAAAGGGTGAGCTCAATACCTATTTTATACATTTATGGTATGTTATTGATTATACCACACATTGGATGTCTCTCCCTTTTATCTTGCGGGAGTGAATATCAACGTGGAAGAGTGGTGGGATGCTGCCCTAAGACCATACAAGCCTCATTTACAGAGCCAATTTTATAGGCTCTTTTAAATGTGAGTGACCCATTTTTCTCATAACTGGAATTGTCCCAATTTGTTACCATCTACACTTTATTTTCTTCTTTATATCTTTTTATATATACTTGACATACACGCTCTTATCAAGGCCACAGAGGGGTAAACTACCCCCTTTTATCTTACAGCACGTGTCTTAGTTTATAGGTTTCACTTGTATAAGTTTCACTTC